CGCGGGCGGTCTGCTCGGCCCGTCCAAAACCGCCGTCTATGGACCCTATGTCCGACCTGTAAACCACCAGATGTTTCTCAGCTTCGTGCCGAGAGGGACGGAGGAGACGCGCGTACGAGAGGGCAGCGGCAGGAGGACATCTCTTTGCCTGGATCTTTTCTCGGTCATGAGATTTTTATCCAGCGGCTTTACAGCTCTGCTCCTTAGTTTGGATGTTTTAAGCACCAGCTACCTTGCTAGATGTGTGGAAATTGGTGCAGAATTTGCCAGCCTCGAAAATACAGTTTCAGTCCTTTGTGTGAGCTTCACGTTCCTGTAGCAGCAGTTCTGGGCGCGGAATGTAGTGTTTTGAACGGTCAGGTTTTTCTTTAACCAGGAGTACAACCACTACCTTTTTCATTCATAAAACATGCTGCTTTTATTTTTAGAACAACAGCACTTTGCTGATGTTGAGAGTTTGGCAAACAGTTGATTTAATTGGGATAATACTGTCCAAGATAAGAAGGGACTGCTGGAGTCACAGACTTCTGTTTCCTTTATCTGTAGGAAGCCACAGAGATAGAGGCTGGATGATGTCCTAAGACATTAACTGATGAGGGGAGAGCAAACCACATATTGAACAACTTTGGTAGTTGAATTTTGTATAGGGTGCAGTTTTTTTTTTTTCTTCTGATGCCTGTCTTGACCATCAGAAATCACTGAACTAAAAATCTATTCCCCTACCACCATCCTGCCTTATTCATATTGCAGAAATGATTTTCAAAGAGACATAATGACAAAAAAAAAAATTCTGTTGCAAACTTTTATGCCTGCCTTGTTAGTAGATGATGTTATTAAAGGTACATCAAAGATTGCAGTACAACGGATCTTTCTTCCTCTTTCTGTTGGCTAAATGCAGTTTTTTCCTTTTAGTCTAAAAATAAGACTATTTTCCAGGTGCTGCACTTGAGTTTTCAACATTTAATCACGTTATTCCTGTTTCTTCATTATGAGCTGACTTTTAAAAGATGTGGAAATGTTTTGCTTACTTGCAAAAAACCCCACCAACTGTGTTTAACAAAATGTGATCTTTATGTCAAAATCTGTTAGGCTATGTTCTTTCTTTCTTTTTTTTATTTGAAAGGTGCTGCAGAGTGGAAGAATGCTAATACAAAATGCAGAGTGTTTCCTGGATTAGGAAAAAAACCTAATGCTGGATTGTAGTATTATTTGTGCAGTTAAAGCTTCTCAGCATTAAGTTACAGAAAGCCTCCTGTGCCGGAAGAGCCCTCGTGACTGCGGTCTTCCCTGTTTTGCCCTCTTTAGGTGGATAAGATAGTGGACCAGTTGCAGCAGTTTGTTCAGAGCTATGATCTGGCTGCCCTGCGGGATTACTGGAATTATCTCGACCGACGCCTTTTCAGCCGTTTGGAAGATGTGTACCGACCAACAGTGAACAAGCTGAAAACCAGCTTATTCCGATACTACCTCATCCATACTGTTCAGGTAGTGTTTGATTTTTAGGCTTCTGTTTTAAAAAGATCCTGGTTTCTGAAACCAGAGCAATGAAATACCCCTGTGAGCCTCTGACAGGCCTGGTGGGTAAGGGACAAGCAATTCTTGTGTCATGTATCAGGAGTGTAGTAAAGAGTTTGACGCGGACTCACATGACAAGCTCGTAAGCAGGGTAGGGAAGCTGAGGCGAGACGGAAATACGGTTAGCTGGGAGCAAGATACTCACACTCAGACATGAAGGCAGGTCCCCCTCAGACAGGATGGCCGTACTGCTAGCTCAGCCTGCTCAGCCTTTGTTGATAACTTGGATACCAGGAAAGACCCCAAGGTTTGTAAACACCTCCTCATGGGACATTGCCATGAGAACAGAGGAGGACAAGAACAATGCTCAAAGCAATCTTCCTAAGTTGAAGAAACAGGCAGAAAAAAGCCCCAAGCATATGTATGTAGGGAGTAGTCAGCTGCTCCAGTGCAGAATAAGGAACGATTCAGCAGGCAGCAGCAGTGCAGGGAAGGGCCTTACTGCAGCGCTGGGGATCAGCAGGCAGGATTGTCTGTATTCCTTCCACTCTAACCTGCTGGCAGGACTCAGCCAGTCCTTCCAGGCACCAGAGTTCTTAAAGCATCAAGGGAGTTGAGGGTCCAGAAGAAAGAAAAGGTGACTTGAAGTTGGTGGAGTTGAGTTTTAGTTTGTAAGAGGGGGAGAAGTGGGCTTCAAATCTGTACAAGGTAACGTGGGAGAGAAAATGAGTGAATGGTTTTTGTTTGCTTTGAATAGAACAGAAAAGAATGAGCTCAAAATGGGGCAGAGATTATCTTGTTGAAACCCTAGGAAAGTCAATGGAATATATTACACGGGGTGGGCTTTGGCCAACAAAATAGACAAGTACCTGTCAGGAATTCATGTTTCATTTCTTACCATTTAGAAGCAATGTTTCCTCCTTGATTCTATTCTCTGACTGAAAATCTTAAATTATGGGTGTTGGTGAAGGAGTCAAAATCTAATGCATATTTCTGGTAGTGTGGTTTTTCATGTTTTGTTTTGCCCTGTGCTTACCCTGAGGCGTGACTGTCCTGTCTGAATAATGTATCAGATGGAAACCTTTTCAGGCTACATCTGCTGTAGACTTGAGTAATTTGAAGTATACTTTGGTCTTGTATATGAATGCTCATGTCTTACGTCAGTGCACGAACTGCACTGGTTTAGCTGGAAATCAATGTAAGTGATTATTTTGATTTGCCTCAGCCTTTAAACAAGACTGTGGTGACTAGAAAGGTCGGATTAAGTGCATTTGTGAGCTTCTCCTAGCGTATTTGAGATTCTTTTGTTCCTAGATGAATCTGTTAACTCTAACTACTTGCTCTGTTGGGTGGTGAAAGTAGTTATTAGTGTGTTCATAACACAGAGCAAATATTCCTAGAACCCATGTGGTGGCATGAATGGAAGTGTGAGCCCTGTTCTTCTTGCTGTGTTTCAGACTGGCCGCAATGACAAGGCGCAGGAGTTTTTCCTCAAGCAGGCCTCCGAGCTCCAGAACCAGGCAGAGTGGAAGGATTGGTTTGTCCTGCCCTTCCTCCCTGCCCCAGACTCCAACCCCACCTTTGCCACCTATTTCTCGCGCCAGTGGGCAGATACGTTTATTGTGTCTCTGCACAACTTCCTGAGTGTCTTATTTCAGTGCATGCATATCCTTTTTTGCAACTAATAGTTCAATCTCCCTTGCCCTGGTGTTATGCTTACTATTAACAGTGGTGCCAAGAATACAGTATTACAGAACTTGCTGCTT